GATACAACATCCCCTTATGCGCATCAGAGACACCCTCCGCTCGATCTATCACCAGGTCTCACACATATTCCGAGAGGGGAACTGACCCGCTGATTTTATTGCTAGCACGGGGGCATCTATACCCCAGAGACGCATCCTTCACCCTGAAGACATCCCCTTCCGCCTTCGGACGCTCATCCGGATGGACCAGCTAGAGTACCCATCCTTCAGATTTGGACGACCGCCACCACCTGACCCTAACTAGACTCATCGGATATTTTGTGACCCTTGTATTTTCTCGGCTTTGTGGCTTTTCTGTTTTGATGTTTATTATGTATCTTCAATATTGATGTAGACTATTGACTTTTTAGCCCTCCCTGGGCCATTATATTCACAGGTCGGGGGTGTAGCCTCAACCCCCCACACTGGAATGTTTATATAATAAAAAATGTATCATCCAACCAACTAGCACCCCTTATTTATGTATCTTGGTTCTATATACATAAAGTATTTTATAGTCTTTTGTTTACTAGATTTATGGGAATTTTTTGTTTAGCTATCATGATTTTTTGTAAAGCATTGGCCTTTTATTTGTATACCAAAAAATATTATATAATTTCTTTTTAACTCCAAATACAAATTAATACATATATTATGAATATTAAATATGAATTAATATTATATTAAGTGATATTTTAAAAATTATATTACGAAGTCAAATAATGATATTTTGAAACTAAGGGGGCGTATTCACTTGAGATTTTTAAGGACTTTTTAAAACTTTTTAAATTTGATGACTTTTGTGGACTTTGTAGAATTTTCATGACTTTGGTGGACTTTTTGAGACTTTCAGAGAATTTTCATTAGTGACTTTTTAAGACTTTGATAATGGACTTTTTAAAACTTATTGAGACTTTTTTATACTTGCAATTATAATATTATGTTTGAATAAAATATTAATATACGTAACGTAATAACTAATATAAACAAGAGTAAATGAAAAAAAAAGATGTTGTATATATTAATCTTCTAAAAATTTATGAATAAACTCATTTTTATGCGAAATAAGTTATTCACAAACAAATTGTTTAGAATTTTAGATTTATTAAATGAGTAAATCGATCCGAGCTTCAACGTGAGCCTTATATTTGTTTGTTAAAAGAGTACAAGCTCAAATATGTCTTAGACATCTCTTCTATAACGACACTTATAATCAACCCAAATTAAGTTATATTTATCTAATTATTGATTGATTTTATTTTATATATATATATATATATATATTTGCATAATGTTGCTATATTAGAAAATATTATTAGGATATATTTTTACAAGATACAAACATTGCTGAAAAACAGTAATTGTATCTTATAAAATTATCAATAATTTCAATATTAACAAATAAATTATTTAAAAATAAAATATTTTTTTTTAATATTTTGAAATAAACATTTACAAATAAAAAGAAAGAACAAATAAGTTATTTGCAAGTACAACTATGGAAGCATTAACCTTTGAAAAGCCAAATTCACAAGATAGCAAAATGAGAGAATAGAAGTATACACACATAAAATAAGCATAATAAAGAATATATAAAATAAAAAGATCACATTAATATACGTAATGAAAATAAAAATTACACAAGGTATCAAAATAAATAAGTAAAATAATAGAGCATGAAAATGATATGAGATACAAAGTCGTGTTAGAAAGAAAAAATAGCGTGAAAAGAATCACATAAGTCCAGCAAAATCTCACCAATATTGATGAGATTTCTGTTGAGACTTTTCATTTGTAATTTTGTTACAAAAGTCTTTAAAAGTCTCAAAATTTAAATCACAAAGTCTTTATGTTTTGAATATCGAGTGACTTATAAAGACTCTCAGAATGTTTTAATTGAATACCCTGAGACTTTTAGAGACTTATTAAAAGTCATTAAAAGTCTCAATTGAATACTGGTAAACTTTTCAGAAGTCTTTAAAAGTTCTAATTGAATACACCAGAATTCTAAAAGTCTTAAAAAGTCTCTAAAAGTTGATATTGAATACACCCCCCTAAGATTTGTTTAATTAAAAATTATGTAAGAAACATCATATACAATTTAAAAGATAGGGTGAAACTGTTGTTTGAATTAAAATGGGTCCTGTTCGCCCTAGACACTTATCAATTAAAAAAAAGTATTTTATTTGCTATTAATTAACAATGAGTCTTCATTTACAAATTATCAAGGACGTCAACAAAACTTAATTATGAGTTCTGGGGATTGAATTTTAGTAATCTCCGAACTGTATGTAGAAAATGACAAGCCAACAATTCCACCCTAATTTGTAGGTGAGCGGTTCAAATTGTCTAAATTTTTATTTAACAAGTCAAAAAGTTATTAATAAAAACACACGGAAATTGAATGTTTGAAAAAAATAAAAAAAGATGATGAAATGTCCATGACAAATGTTCTTCCATTGTCATAAATTTGGGGTAACATTGTGCCTTTGCGGTGGAGAGATATATTAATTTAAACATCGGAGTGTCTGCACCGGAAGGTTCCTGGTGCTTTTTCAAGTATTGTGGCCACCAAGCTTCAGGGTCGATCCAGAGCCAAGAGGTCGAGAAAATGACGGTTTGAGACCGGCACAGGAGTTCAGGAGTGGGTTGTCAAGGACGTCAACACACTAATTTATGAGTTTCGGAGATTGAATTTTAATGACCTCTCAACCGTACCGAGCTATGCTCACTTCCTACAACTTAATGTGGAAAATGATAAACCAACACTTTTAGCCTGTAATTTAGCTCAATGATTCAACTTGTCTAAATTTTGATTGAACTGGTCAAAAATGTTACTAGCAAAAGCACGCGAAAATTGAGTCACTGAAAAAACGGGAAATGGTGATGAAATGTCAATCACAAATCTTCCATTATCACGCTAGATAAAATGTTCCGAACTATTCACAAGTCACGCCAACAAAAAAAACTTGATCACTCTTGGGCCTTTATAAATATATAAATAGCACAAGATATATATGCTTACCATGACAAAAACTCTTGTATTGTAATATATGACGGGTACTAGCATGAAAGATTCTCATAATAGCTGCCTTCATCTCCCTTCTCATACTGACCCCCTTCTCGTAATGTAGTACTACTTCTACTACTGTGGTGTAGATTAGTATAGATTATTATTATTATTATTATTATTATTATTATTATTATTATTATTATTATTATTATTATTATTATTATTATTATTATTATTATTATTATTAT